AGAGAGAGAGAGAGAGAGAGAGAATGGAGAGTGAGTTTTACCTGCTTCTCGAGATCCATCAGGTGCTTCTTCAGTTCCTCAAGTTTCTGAAGGTTCTCCAATCGTCGCGGAGTATCGAGCTCTGCCAATCTAGCCTGCGGGTCACAAAAGATCGCCACTTTAAGCGCCACATCGGGCAAATTTCCACGCTTCACGATGTCTATATAGTAAATCTTTCTGCCTAATGGTGCACGATCGTGCCTCGGGGATAATGCATCCTAGGTTTCGCTGACATTCAATCAAATCGCGATACTTCGTCAAAACTGAACGAACGATACCAGAATGGACAAATATTTTGTTTCCAAACGCTTCTGTAATTAATAAGCTGCAGATTTTTATGAAATTGTAGAAAATTTGAAAGTATAGAATTCCAAAGAATAATGAAGAGAAGAAATAATGTAAAATATTCAAAGTAAAATTTTTCGTTAGAGATTATGCTCTTTTTCTGACACGTTGACCATTGGGAGAATTTATACGTTTTACCAATGGGATAAAACATTTAATCTTTCCAGAATATCGTGTAAGTTAATTACGCAAAGTTGATGTGCATAACAATACATATTAATATAAAATATTTATATAGTATTAAATTTTTGTTTTACATTATAAAAAAATTTATAGCAATAGAAACATTATCGTCGCAGTCAACGCGTTAATTACACTCTCAAGAAATATGAATTTGTACAAAAACCTAGTCTGCTAATTAATATTCTAAAGAAACGTTCCAACGTTTCCACTACTTCGTCACAAATTTCAATCCCATTTTTCTCGATCCAGTAATCAGAGTATCAATAATATGACGTAAGCTTAAGGAAAAGTGCAAGTAATATTTATAAAAATCAAAAGCAAAAAAATCGCAAACTGTAAAAAACGATAAAGAAAATCAAAATATTTCTCACAGAGTGATACTAAACTAACTCGTGTGTTTTTTAACAGACACGATCAGAAGGAAACGTTCAGAAGAAAACCTGCAGAACATGTGTTCGCACATACACACACTTTGCACAACACGTCGACGCATTTACTTTCACCTGAGTACTAAACCCACGAAACATCCATACTATGCTACAATGTACGCTAAAGTCGAACGTAAACTAGCCGAAACTGCACGACATGGAAATCGGAAACGCATTCCAGTTTCACTGCTCGTCTATCCAAATTTATCTAACTCTGCTAACAGCAAAAAAGGCAACAGCAGGGAGAGGGGGGAAGACGGGATGACGAGGGGTTGTACGCGATCAAACTTTTAATACGCCTCGAGGGTGTGCGAATCGCGGAAAAGGGAATCGCACGGTCCCTCAGGGACGATATGGGAACGTAATACAGTTTCTAACGAGCAATGACAGAGAGGAAGGGTTAATAGACTTCCAGAGATCGAAAATATCCACGTGTTACGATATGTGTATACTTTTGCGCAAAAATTTTGGAGCATCTTTTGTCTTTTGGA